ATACATACATACATACATACATACATACATACATACATACATACATACATACATACATACATACATACAGGTGAAACTAATATAAGCGTGTTAATAATACCTTCTCAGCTTCGCATCGAAGCTAAAACACTTTAATAAACTAGTAAAAATGATCATTATTTTTATAGGTTTTTATACTAGAGAACTCTAGTACTCTATTTCAAGTTAATATATTGTAGTTCGATGATTAACCGTTGACATCGTTGTAAGTATTTGCCGTATTGCTGAGGTCTGTGTATTTTGTTGCGTTGAGTTAGTTATCAATAGCAAGCCGAAAAATACGGTACCTAGAACTGTGTTCGTGTGGTGAACAAGGAGTGATAGTGGTCCGTGAGATGTGAATATTTTAAGAAGTTTTATTCAGAAAATTAAAATTTTTTTGTTATTATTTTACTAGTTTAATATTATTAAATTCATATTTTTAAAATACATATATCATGGGTCTTTTATCTGAAGGACAACCGCTGTCCTGGGAAGAAACCAAAAAATTGGCTGATCATGTGCGACAACATGGTATTAATCAATTTGTCAATTTATATCATCAGTTAGTGGATCGTAAAGGAGATGTTCTTAAATGGGGCGATGAGGTGTGTAAATTTATAAACTAATTTAAAAAAAAAACTACTTGGATTTAACTAAAACTAATAATATTTTAGGTAGAATATATAATTGTCAAATTTGATCATGTTAAAAAAACTGCAAAAGTTAGTCTGTGTGCACAAAACATATTACAACAATTAAATGCTAAAGAGTTGAATGATCCCAGGTAAGTCATTACTTTTTAATTATTCTTAAATGTTTAATGGTGGTGTATAAAATTCATTTTATGAATAAAATGTCAACCTTAGATTTATAAATTTTAAATTTTATATGAGGATTAATAACATTTATCTATCTATAATAGTAAATTTAGATCCCTAAATTTCTTTAAAATAGTTGTTATTATTTTCTTAGATTGAAAAATAGCTATTAATTTTATTTATTATTATCTCATTTTTTATAGTTGGAGCAGTCTAGTTAAAATATGGAAGTGTTATTTGAACTAACTATTTCTAAATAAAATTAAATATATGTAACTATATAAAATTCTAATATGTTAAAGAAACTAATGTTTCTTACAGTTTATTTATACCAAGTTTATAATATTATCTAATCTATTAAGGTATTTAATAAAGCAAAAAAATGTTAGTTTTTCTAAATTTAATAACAATAAACTATCTCTAAGAGTTTATATCTCTCCAGATGATCCTTATTATTGTTTTTGAGCCAGAAGTTAGTAATATTGAATATAATATATGGCTATGGTATCAGTGAAGGTGCTACAGATATATATATAATCATATCATGGTTTTAAGAGGCACTCTTGAACCATGGTAAGATGTCTTTAATACAACAAATTATATTTTATGGTACTTTCAGCAAAATCATTAAATCAAAAATTTTTACTTTCATAGAAATAAAAATAATTCTTTATTAAAAATTTCCTTTACAAAACTATTGTTGGGTATCATTTATTTCATCATAATTTGGAATTACTACTACATATAATATATATACTAAAATAATTTTGATAATAAAAATTGTTTATTATTGAAGTTTTCTAATAAAATAATATTTTATGTAAAATTTATAAAATTAAAACTTTACTCAATTTTTTGTATCCTATTTTGTGATTACTATTTAATGAGTAGCCTAACTTAGTCAGTTTTGCTGAATTTAATTGTAATAATTTTAGTGAATATAATTGTTAAAAAAAGCAATGTTAATAGAAAATATGATCAATACAATAATGAGCTGAATCAAGTAAATTTTCTTGAGTTTTTAGAAAGACAAAGAAATATTGTTATTTAGATACAAAGGAGAGTTTAAATATCACTTATTAATTTTTTTTTTATGAAATAAAAATGCTTAAAATTAGGTTGGTTTTTGTTTTGAATAGGGTAAGCATCAAATATTGTTCATACACCAAATACTGTTAATGAATTGTGCATAATTTTTAATAAAATTCCATTATTGTTTAGTATTTGTTGAAGTTTAATATTAATCAAAATTATGTTATAGGCCACATAAATAAGTTTATTGCCTCCGACCTGATACTATATGCACGCTTAAAAATAAGTTTTAAATAATTATATATTATGAAATTAAATTACAATTTAATTAATAAATTGATAGAAATCTTAATATTTTATGTAGTGTATCTAAAAAAAATTATGTTATAAGTTTAAATAACACATAAAATAAATTTGGGTTATTAATAGTGATGATATGGACTCTGATATTTCAATTTTTCAGTCAAACTCAAATTTTTTACTAATTTTTTTTTTTGTATTTCAAAATCAAACTATTAAAAACATGACGTGTAAAAATATTAATAAAAAAAAAAAACAAGAAGAATAAAGATATGCGAGAAATTGTAATATATAAGTTTTTTTAATAGTTTTTTAAAAATTTTTTCTAAATTTTTGTAGTAATGTAAAATCGCTGTGGAGACCAGAGTATGGCGCTTATATGATTGAAGGTACACCTGGTAAGCCGTATGGGGGTTTACTAGCACATTTTAATATTGTTGAAGCAAATATGCGTTACCGTAGGGAGGAAGCACAAAATTTACTAGGCCCAGATGAAGTGCTTATGACTATAACAAATTTTCCCAGGTAAAACTTTTGATTTTAATTATATATAATATATTTTGATATTTTTTGGGGTATTGAACTAGTTTAAATAGAATAGGATATACAGTTTTATTTACTTAAGAAAATTACACAACTCCTTATAAATATTCACATTTGAAAAGGATTTCACGATTATATATTATTTTTTGATCGGATGTTATAATATTGGGCAAATGATTCAAAGTTGATAAAATTTAAATTAAATCTAGTAAGGGTATAGGAATAGATGGGTCAAAAAAACAGCTTAGAAAAGCTATGGACTGGATTTGGTGGGCTTGTAGTTTCAGATCATTCAGAAAGATATTACAAAATTTGCACACATGGGGCGCAATTTGTGTGCAGGCTTGGATGTCCTGAATTCACGTGGCCAATAGAAAACCCGACTCCTGAAGCTGGTGCATCGAAGTCTCTGTTCATACCTGATTCAGCTATTTACAAGGGTCATCCTCGGTTTTCTACTCTTACTACAAATATCAGACAGCGAAGAGGAGAACGCGTCGCAATTAATATTCCGAGTAAGTTATATTTTTATAGAGCTAGACAAAAAAAATTAATTATTTATAATATAGACACATAAATAAATATTTATATGTTTTGTCTCTGACATTTAAATCACTAAAAACTTATTTTTCGTTAAATGACGTTTCTGTTCAGTCTTTTTGCAATTTAATTTTTAATGAGGTATTTAATAAATAGATTTGACTTTAAAATTAAAGACATAGTTGCGTTCATAATTCACAAAAGATCTTTCAAATAATCTTTTTGTTTTTCTAAACTGTTTATTTTGAAGTATATACTTAGAGATGTAGAAACAATGAGCGCTTATAGTTAGATGGATTTGTTCGTTCGAAAATTTTTATTTTATTATTAACAATTGTTATGTGTGCGTGCACTCAATGTTACATACAAATTAAGTATAGATTTACAATACAATAATGCATTTTAAAAACGAGTTGAAAATTTCGTCAGTATTTAAACACATTTTATATGAACATAAAATTTTATCTAATTTTTCATTACATTTTAATGAAATAACTATTTTCGTGTTGAAAACTATAATATTTATTATTAATAAAGTTTTTTAATTAGAATGGACTAATTTTAAAAGTTTGAAAAATGTAGAATATTAAGGTAATTTTTAGGTCGCACTTTTTTTTATATTTTTGTTCAATTAAAAAAAAAATATATATATATATATGTTTAAGTCCCTCAAAATATAGATTTTAACACTAAAAGAAAATGAGCTACAACAGATTTGTTTTTTCTTTTCGAAAGTTTTATTTTGATAAAGTTCTATATAATATATGAACATATAATTCCACCCTTAAGGTATGCGTTTAATCAGTGTTGCAATTAGAGGAGAAGTTGATAAAAGGATATTTTGGAAACGCCGATGTTTAGGAGTCCTCCAGCTTTTTTTATCTATCATGTCAAAGTTTAGAAATGTGTACTAAAACTATAAAAAAGTATAAAAAGGCAGCTTTCGAGTATGAAAAAGCCCCTTTTATAATACTTGCCACATGATTAAGTTGCCCCCTGATTTGTTGATAATCAAAAATAACTTTAATTACTCTTACGTACTAAACATGTCCGAAGTATTTTTTATTGTTTTATCAAATTCATATTTAATTTCAAATTAGTTTTTAAAAAATGGAAATTTCTCAAATATTATTAAAGTTAAGATTTCACTTAAGTTTCAATATGTTTTAATTCAAAATAATAATTTAAACAAATGTACGATAAACTAAATTTAAATCAGATATCTCAGTATTACACAGAGAAAAAGAAACAATTCTAACATTAAATCATTTTTTTTATATTTTATTAGATTATAGTACATAACGTGATTTCACCTTATGAGATATCATAATTTAATTTTTTTTTAATATAATAAGCTTATTAAAGGGACGGTGTGGCCGTGTCGGTGGTAACGCGGCAGTGCTTTATGTGCACTGCCTTGGGTTCGAGATTTGGTTACGGGCGCTTCCGTTGCTGTGCGAAAGGTCAGTTCATTATTTGGACTAGCCATCTGTCTCTCCAGCAATGGATTAATCACTCGTGTCAGTATATTCATAGATAAGAAAATTTCTCTTCCTATAACCGTTTATGGACTGCAAAAACGTAAAAAAAAGCTTACTAAGATACTTCTATACCAGGATATTTAGATGTCATATATATAATTTATAAGTTTGAATTATTAAGTAAAATTTAAAAAAAAACCTCCTCTGATTATTTATGTAGGTAACAAAAACACGAAGAGCAAAATAGTAACTTACAATAGCTACTGTTGATTTCTAAAAGGTATGCAGGTCATGTAAGTAATTAATCCTTATGTTAGAATACATATATTAATAGATTTTCATTTCTATTGATGCTTTATTTATTACTTCAAATATTAGCATGACTAAAACGACAGTCATGTTTCTGTTGTGCAAAAATAGATGAAATCTTTTTTTATAATTAATTTTTATATCAAGTAAGTGCGTCGCAGTTCATCGACATATATTATATATAATTTTTCGCGAGTTGATTTACGAAACTTACATGACACCTGTTTGTATTAACAAAATGTTAAATATTATATCCCAAGTGTAATTATTACTAGTATTATTATTATAGCAAAATTTAAATTGGTTTATTTTTTATTTGCTTTTGTGTAATCAAATCTAGTTCTTATTGTCTTTGATTCATTATAGCCTATATTTTCATTATCATTTTTTTATCATTTGGTTAATTTTTGAGGGGAGAATTTTTTTTTGTTATTCATGTTGCCGAACGTGATTAAAATTTATTGCAAAAAAAATCGAATGAACAAGTTCTTTATTATTGCACATTGTTGCCACAATATAAAAATGTATACCAAACTATTTAGAGTACATAATTCTAATAATGTTATCTTAATAGATAATTTTTTTAACGTTAATCTTCCGTGTATTATAATATAATATATGATCTCATCAAAATAATCTTTTGACTAAATTAATAAAATAACTACTTGAGTTTTTTTAATAAATAATTTTAAAAAAAATTGATTGTGAAATTATTTTTCGATATATTGGATATGATTTAATTTACTAAAAGAACTAATACACCAACATAGTTTAAACATTTTAAGCAACATAATTTTATTTAACTTAAAATGGGATAGTGATGGATAATGTTTTATTTAGTATTTATAAAGTTGGAAAACCTATTCAAACCTATTTTTATTACAACAGAAATATATAGTAATGTGTATGTGTATATATAGTTATATGTGTATAATATATAGGTATTTGCTACAATTATGTTGTTGTTAAAATATCCTTTAATATACACAACGCTTATGGAATTATTATCAGGTGAACAATTAATTTATAACTGAGAAATTTACATTCCAATCGTACTCTTGACATACTATATTTGCACTTCTAGTTTAATTACAACATCTTTAGTAAGAAATTTTTAAAACGCATAAATTTAAGCATGGCCTTAAAGAATTTTGTATTATCATATTTTTGCAGAAATATTTTGTTACAGTTGAGGTTTTTTAGTTTTAAGTTTTAAATTATTAAGAGGCTTGAATAGTTCAATTATGAAACATATTTGTGTTCGTTATTCACAAATAATTAAGTCTTACTAATAATTAGCATATTTTTTATAAGCATAAGACCTTCATGAATATTAATACATCTATCAACAGCTTTTTGATTAGGTATTTGAATATGTACGTGTTATAATTCCTTTACTATAATTTATAAGTAATTTTTCTATTCTATTAATTAATTCTAATTTTGTTTAGATTTAAATAAAATTGTACAATAATAAATAAGGACAGAAACGATGATTGTTTTTATTAGCATCGAAGTTTGAAGTAATTATAGCTCTAAATTGTGATTCTTTGGTGGATTTTTATGAACCAAGGACATATTATTGCATCAAGTATTTCAATACTACTGAAATATGAAATACAATTGAAAAATTAATAACACTTCTTTTAGTAAATCTGAGTTAAATAATCAATTATATCTTTAAAAGCTATACCCAGTTGTGGTAGAATGTGATTTTCCTTTTTGCACAATAAATATAACTTAACCTTGTATGTGTAATTGATTTAGTTTTGAAAATTAGATAAATATGTTTCAATCATAGGTACTTAAAGAAAAACACTAATTTGTTTATATGTCATACTGTGATGTGGCAATATATTCGTTTGCAAATCGTTATTCTTTGCTTTGTCAATGATAGTACTTTTTTCTCTTTGCGTGTTATTATATTTGACATTAGAATATTTAGTAGTTGCTCGCTATTGATTTTTTGTTGTGACAAGCAATTATGTTAATAATTCATTAAGTAAAAATTAGAATTATTAGGGTTTTGACGTTGAATCTAAAATTGATTTTAAATAGGAACTTTTTTCAAAATAAATGATATATAGGTTTATTTTTAAAAAGGTTTTCATGAGAAGTTTTTCTATTTTAAACAATTTTCTCGATTTTATCTAACTGGCTACTAATGTAAACAAACACTATAAACTCTATATGAAATAGTTCAATATTTAACTTGTATTAGTAATGATATATATATATATCATTACTGATACAAGTTATGTCTTATATTGTATATACAGCGTAGAACAGATCTAACTGACAACTCGTATAACTTTTGATACAATTAACATTTCATTGAAATTTTTTTTAAAATAATTTATGCATTCTTAGATTACGTTTAAATATTTCTCATAATTTTTTTTAATGATAAGGATTGGGAATAAGTTATTGTTGCTTTTGAAATAATCTACCAATTAATAATAATTAATAATTTTCACGGTGAAAATGGCTACCATATGCTATTTTTGTGTTAAAATTCTCGATTTTATATTTTACATTTTTAACTTTATTATGCTATAACTTTTTGAAAAATGTATGGATCAATACATTTTTTTAAAAGAAATAATATTCATATACCTCTTTAATTCGACATACTTGTTTTTTAAATCGGACTATTTCCCTTAATACAGGGGGGGTTCAAACATAAAAATGCATAGAGAAAGTAGAACTTTTACACTTAATTTTTGAAAGTGTTTCAGAAAGTTGACACTTTTATATATATCTTAAATTAAAGCTAATATAATGTACTTTATTATGAAAAAAAAAATCGGACTTTATATTGTCTTAACGGTAAAAATGGCTTTTTGTGTGAAAATTCTCGATTTTATTTTTTACATTTTTAACTTAATAATGCTATAACTTATTGAAAAGTGTATGAATCAACACAATTTTTTTATGAGAAATAATATTTCTTAATAATCCATTTGTCATTCGACATACTTTATCTTAATCAAGATATTAATAAGGAACTAGCAGAACATGTAGCTTGTAGATTTTGGAATAATCCACCAATTTTTTAAATTTAAACACTATCTAAAGATTTGCATCGAAGCGTTTTTTTTGATAGTGATTTTAATCACTGTCAGATATCATTATACTTGATCTAACTATGCCACATCACCACTGTGCCGCGACCCCCTGTACTGGGTTTTTTTATATTTTTATTCAATGTTATTGATAAAAATATATTGTCATCTGAATCATATTGATATAATAATGTATTTTAGCTTCGATGCGAAGCTGAGAAGGTATTAATTTTACTATGATGTGTTTTTTAAAATGAGTTCGATGTTCCAATTTCATAATGTATACATTAATTTATTCAAAATATATAAACTTTTAATTATACTTTATAAATTTTAAAGTAGAAATTAGTATTACTTAAAACACAATTTTGTTATACCTAACGCTAAAATCAAAACAATATATTTATTACTTAATTAATATTTCTTAAGTATATTTTCATAGGAATTTTATAAAATCTTTGAACTATTTTTACATAATAATTGATAACTGGAATGTAATTTGTTTATACAAAATCCGTATTCTTTGACGTTTATATTTTTCCTTGCTAATAAACATGCGTCTCCAAAATTACGTTATTTTCTTGTAGATAAATGTTAAAACGACAAGTGTTAATTTCTTTATACTTATATCACAGTAACGATTTTTTCTTATTAAGTAACGCAATTGATATCTTTCATGGTTAGTTTTTAATCTAATATCTATTATATATTTACGAAGAATATAAACTTGGTTCATATAAATATTAATTACAATAATTTTATACAATTTTTTTTAAAATTATCTTTGAAGCATTAATTATATTTAATGCATAATATTAATTATAATAATAACCTTTAACCATATGATACATACCATATTACTTAAAAATGAAAACTAAAATAATAAGTAAGTTATAAGTAACCCTTAAGTTTTAATTTGTATAGTAATATAATGTAATATTTGTAATGCCACAAACATTTTAAATTTAAACATATTAATATAAAACGAGTAAATATATAATTAACATAACAATTTAACACTAATTCTTTTATAAGCACATTAATAAGTAATTGCGAATTATTAACTTCAAACTATAATTATGATTAATTTAAAATTGTATTAAATTATATTAAATTGTTTGTAAATTATGTGATGCATGTTAATTATATACTTAATAGTTATCACTTAGTAAAGTTTTATATTAATGCTTACTATTTAAAATCTTTTAGTGACCTAAAGATCTGCTGCTCTTGTCCTTAATATACCCCATCCACCCCATGACTTAACTCCTATTCAAAATTTTTTCCAACTTCCTTCCTTATCCGCCAGAAGACATGAGTCTAATATCCGTTTCCTTTCCAAACTCTTAGCAGGTTTAATTGATTCTCCTGTCCTTCTTTCTAAGTTGAACTTACGGGTACCTGCCCGCTCAACTCGATATACTGCCCCTTTCCTAATTCCTCCTTCATCTACTAGCTATTTATTTAATTCTTCTCTCCCCCGTTTAATGCGTACTGCAAATAATGACCCTGATTTTTTAAATTCTTTTTGTTCTTAATGGAGTCATTTAGCCTTTCTTTGTATTTTAAATTTTTGCTTATGTTTTCAATTTTTTCTTCTTGTCCAATTCAATTTTATTGATTTTCATCTAATAATGTTCATATTTCTAGTTTTATGATAATTTTAAGTTGTATATTAACTGTCAATTACATATTGTATTTTTGGGCTAATGCCTGTATCAGAAACAATAAATAAAGATGTTATTTTATTTTTTCTCTTAAAGAGAAAAGAAACATGAGAAAATTCGTTTACTTCTCTTCGAATTAATAAATAAAAATTGTATTTATTCATAATTTACATTGTTATTTTTATTAAGAAAAATACTTTACATCACAAAAACTTTTATTTAATTCTAACAGTGATATTTTTGAATTGAACTTGGGCAAATCAAAAAAAAATATATTAAATGGCTTACTTTTGAAGTATCTATTAAAATGTATTTGAACATACTAAAAATTAAATAAATTATAGTTTATCTATCATATTACTTATTTAACAATTATTTTCTGTATTATTAATGATATTAAAAACTATTATACCTTTTTGATTTATAATTACTTTAGAAACTAATTAAAAATATTTTTACTTATTCATTCTTATAATTTATAAATAAAATATGTTTAAAATAATTTGTTATTAGTTTTGAGGCAAAAATTAATTATTTACACTTATGTTTATGCAGTATTCAAGGATAAAAATACTCAGAGTCCTTTCAAAGAAGATCTTAAAAGTCTTGGCGGAGATGCAGACAGTTTAGATGCAGCTTTACCTGATCATATTTATATGGATGCTATGGCTTTTGGTATGGGTTGTTGCTGTTTGCAAATGACATTCCAAGTATGTGAATAACCCTCACATGTATCAGATCTAAGGAACCTGATTGGCTCTGTGTATGTTTTAGGCTTGCTGCATTAAAGAAGCACGGACCTTGTATGATCAATTAACTCCTTTATGTCCCATTTTGGTAATCATATTTTATTTATCTTTCATATAAATAAATGTTTCACTTCTTAAAAAATTATTACCAAAATCTTAGCTGATACTCTCTTGTTCTTTATTTATAGTTAGCGTTAACAGCTGCTTCACCAATATTCAGGGGATATCTATCCGAAGTAGATTGTCGTTGGGATGTGATATCAGGATCTGTAGATTGTCGCACACGGCAGGAGCGTGGATTAGAACCGTTAACTACTGACAAATTTGTTATACCCAAATCTCGTTATGATTCTATTTCTTTGTACTTGTCTAGTCAAGGAGAGAAGTATGCTTACTATTTTAATAAATTATAAGTATTTTTAAAGAGATTAGTGAATGTCACAATATATATATATATATATAATGAAAGGGTCAAAAAAAAAAGGGACTCTATTAAAATGGCATTATATACATTCTTTTTAATCCATTTAAAAAATGTGTACTTTAATATATATATATATATATATATACAGGGTGTTCAGTAAGTCAGAAAACGGGTATCTATTGTTCTCATTGTTACAAACAATGAGAACAATAGATACCCGTTTCCTGACTTACTGAACACCCTAAATAATTTTTACCCAATATTTTGATGTTTATATATTTTATTAATTTTTTGTAGAAAACAATTTTTGTAATAATGTAACATATTCCTGTCTTTGAGATATAATTCTTAATAATGAATCATTATAGTTTATATTTCAATCATTTTTAGATACAATGATGAAAATATTGTTTATGATAAAGATATTTATAATACATTAATAAATGCCAATATTGATCATCAAATGGCTCAACATGTTGCTCATTTATTTATTAGAGATACTGTATCTCTTTTCAGTGAAAAAGTGCATCAAGACGATACTGTGGAAATGGATCATTTTGAAGTAAATATACAAAATAATTTTTTTAGTTACTATAGAGAATAACATGGTTAGATACATATTTTATAATATCAATTTGTTAAAACAGTGAAATTGGTAATATTTAGTTATTTGGTAAGAAACTGATATAATTACTATTAACAGAAAAATTATACAAATGACTCAACATTTCATAAAAACTATTGATACCCTTATAAATTTTAGTCATAAGTTAAATTAAACTAATAAAAGGATGTGACTCTATGTAACTTTTGACATCTAAAATGATGGTTTAATTTAATTTATCTTAGGTTGATTGGTTTTTTAATTATATAAAATATAGATCACTTTCTTAGTATGTAACCAATATATTTTCATTTGAAACACAAGTAAAATAATCAAATTAAAAATTAATCATCCTAAGATAAACTATTTTAAGTGTCAATAATCTATATATGGATCACATATTTTGATTAGTTTAATTTAATTTATTAATGGAATATATATAGATTTTTATGAAATGTTGTGCCTTTTGTATAATTTTTTGGTTAAAAGCAATTATATCAGTTTATAATCATTAAATAAAAAAAAGTACATTTTTGAAACCTCAAAAAATTTTTTGTTTAAAAGTTGTGATTTTTTATTTGTGAGTTTACTTTAAAAATCTTTTAATGAAGTATTTAATTAAAATTTTTTTAAATCAACAAAAAACCCACTCATTTTTAAAATTTTATAAATTAGACTCATCTTGATGAAAATTTGTCTGAAATTTTGCAAACACTCATAAAAAAAAATGTCAAGAATTATATGGAAAAAAAAATTTTTTTTATTTTTAATTACTTTTAAAAGTTTATTTTCACTGTTTTTACAAATAAATATATATCTAAAAAATTAGATATTATAGCAAATTCTAAAGGCAGATTTAAAATTAAAAGCAAAAATAAAATGGAGTCATATAGTTTTATTAATATTACAAAAAAAGTAGAATTTTGTCAACTATATGTAAATAGACACCATAATTATTTCAATTTTTTTGTGTATTGATAATAAAATTAAAAAATATACTATAACTTAAGTAGTCTGAGAAATCCAGTATTAATTAAATTACATTAATTTTGAATTAACATTTGTTCAATAAATAATATTAATAAACATGATCAATTAAAACTATGTTGTAGGTACAATCTTATATTTTTACTAATTTTAGAAATATATTTATATTGTTTGTATTATATTCTTTCTTTTTAGAATATACAGTCTACTAATTGGCAAACTATGAGATTTAAACCACCTCCCCCTCAATCAACTATTGGATGGCGAGTTGAATTCAGACCATGTGAAGTACAGTTAACAGATTTTGAAAATGCTGCCATAGTTTGTTTTGTTGTTTTACTTACTAGAGTGATTCTTTCTTATCAATTAAATTTTATTATCCCTATAAACAAGGTTTATTTATTATTTTGGAAATAATTTTTTTGCAGAGTAACTTATTTATTTAATTTACTGAAATTACAGGTAGATGAAAATATGTGTCGTGCTCAAAAGCGTTCAGCTGCTCATCAAGAGAAGTTTTGGTTTCGTAAAAACATAACTTCTCCTTCAAAATCAGGCAATATGGTAAATGGTATTAATGATGATGCAATTTTCACTTTGATGTCTATTAATGAAATTATTAATGGAAAGGTAGATTATTTAGTAGATTTATTATTACAGTTATATGCAGCCTATAATTTTATAATTTTAAATTGATAGGCTACATAGATTTTACCGTTATCTCTACCACATAGCTTTTCAGAGAGCATGATGAATTTGGCCTGTTATCTTTAGTTCTTCTAATATCTCGTGGTTCAACTAAGTGAATCTTTCCTTTCTTTATTTTCACGACTTGTTTGATTTAACATTCAACCCAATTTTGACTTTAAATTTAATCTCAACTCAGTCCATCCTTCTATCAATTAGGCATTTTTTTTTCAACTTTTTAGGTATTAATTGCATTCTAGTCCTTATCCTTCTAACATGTTAGTTCCCATTCAATTTCAATTGTCAATATTGTAATTTATTTTATATTAAGGGATGGCTGCTATATATAATTCTATTTTCTTTTACTATGTGCTTTCTTTCATAACTTAAATATTTTTTTAGTGTTTGTTAACAAATTTTATTTTAGTAATCATGCTATTCATCCAAAATTGTTGGTCTGTCATATTTTTGATAATAACTTAAAAAAATTAATAATAACTATTTAGTGACAAGAAAATATTCTATTAGCAGTAAATAAGAAAGTAGGGATGGTTCTACAAATAAAACAATTTTGCTTGGTGTCAATTGTTACGTATCACATACTCTAAGAGCATAACTATCATTAGTATATTTGTACTTTGTCGCTATATTAATTTTTCATATTTATATTTATTGNTACGTATCACATACTCTAAGAGCATAACTATCATTAGTATATTTGTACTTTGTCGCTATATTAATTTTTCATATTTATATTTAACATATTTATTTATCTATCCTAATATAAAACTATGAAAAATTGTTCACTTTAAGACTGGCGAGTTTCCTGGTTTAATTCCATTAATTCATAGCTATCTCTCAAGTATGGAAGTTGATACCGATACACATTGTACAATACAACAATACTTAAAATTAATTTCTAAACGTGCATCTGGTAAAATAGATACAACTGCAAGTTGGATACGACGATTTGTTACAGAACATCCAGCTTATAAGTAAAAAAAAAATTAAGTTTATAAAATAATATTACAGTGAAGTTTAAATTATATTATTTGTTGCAGGCAAGATTCTGTAGTTAGCAATGAAATTAACTATGACCTACTAATGACAGCAAATAATATTCAGTCTGGTCGTATTTCTTGTCCACAGTTATTGGGTGACTGCTTGTTGGCTAATTCAAAGACGAAAGAAACAATTCCACCAGCTGTTCAAAAAGTTTACTCTTGTGGACAATAAGTTTCATTGTTTTATTAACTTGTTTGTACTAACGAAGCCAGTAACAAATTAAATACTTCTTTATACTATCACTTATTCATATTTTCCACATATTTATGTAATTTCTATGATACTTATGGAAATTCAATAGAAATATTCTGAGGCATGCTAAAATTGCTTATTTTCATCATATATAACTATATGTATTTTTTTACTGTGTATTATTGTTTTTTAAATTTATTAGCTTAACGAATTAAGCAAAATCATTTATTTGTGTAAAATTATAAAACAAAAATAGTTTAAATAAAACTATTTATTTAGAAATATTAAAGTACTTTAATTCATTCATTACTATTTTAAAATCTATAATGACGGTAGTTAATACAGTTAAAAAAAAAATTCTCAGAAATCATAATATGATTTCAGAGCAATAATTATTAATTTTTTTTTGAAGTAAAAACATACTTGAATAAATCTTTTTTTTTTAAATCCGCTGAATAATTTTGAACAAGGAAAAGTATTTTATTGAAGTCTATAGATTTTTTAAAAGATAAAAGTGAAAAAAAAATGAATTAGAATAAAGGAAAATTTATAAAATGTAAATTAAATTCTACATGTCATACACTATGATAATATGAAATTCTTTAAAAAATTTAATAATTTAAATTAAATATAAAAAAAACTGTTTGTGTAAATTATTAATCATGTTTATAGTCTTATTTAAAAACTATTGATTGTGCCAGAAGACGAGTAAACCTACATCTATGCATTGAGACACAACTTTTTACTAACTGAGCTAGGTGGCTAATATAAAAAATGTAGAATTATATACTATAGTAAAATTCTAATAAGTACAATATTGATCATTTCAACCATATAAATAACAGTATATTTAACTCAAGTTATCATTTGTTAGTTATCAAAGATTTTGATAGATACATATTATAGTTTATTAATGTTTAAAACACCATATTAAAATTTATAAAAAAATTCATAATCTATAGATATGAGTTTTAGGTCTAGGACAGCTAATATTTATGGTGTTTTATACCTAATTATTGCTTAGTAATTTTCTCTAGATAGCTCAATGAAAAATACAGCCATCAGACCAACTCTGGTAGTAAATTATCCTGTTACAATATATTTTACAAAATTATTATGTTAATGGCAATTGTGTTTCTGAAATACGTATACACAATTTTTCATTGTTTTATGTGAGTTAAATATTTTGTATATTTTTTAGTTTAAAATTAAAATTTTAATTTTAAATAATATTAGCTATAAGTGATCAATTTTTATTATCAAAATTTATTTTTACTATTATTAAAATTTTCTAATAATATTTTTGAAGTTTTATTAGTAATTTTATTATTTGCATAAAATTAGTTATTATTAAATAAAACTTTAAAACCAAATAAAATTATATAAATAATATTATTAATCGCTATCTTCATCAATAAAATATTTATTCTTCTTTTTGGATAAGCCAATTTCTTCTTCAACATCACTATCATCCAATGGTATCTTTCTTTTAGAATTGCCCAAATCATTTTCATCTAATAATACATTATTTTTATTTAATGTAAGTGTTTCTTTATCACTGCTATCATTTTCCAAATAACCTGACTTATTTTGAACTTTTGAGTACATTTTCTTAGTAAACTCAAGATCTTCAGACTCACTACTATCTGTAGAAGAGTTAATTTTATTCTTTTTTTTTTTTATAAAAACTAATTGAGATTTTTTAGTAGTTAGATTAACATTGTCATCATCACTATCTTCTAATGATCCAGTTTTCTTTACATTTAAAGAATTTTCTTCAGAATCACTACTATGTATTAACATTTTTGTATTTTTTTTCAATGTATTTGAAGATGAAGGCTGTTTAGCAATTATATTGACATCATCTTTATTACTGTCTTCAAATTGTTCACTTTTGTTTACAGTTACAAAATCTTCATTTGAATCACTAGAGTTAATTGAAATTTTTCTTTTAGATTTATTTCTGTTATTTAATAATTTCACATTGTCATCACTGTCACTTGTATCGACTAAAACATTTTTCTTAGTTTTTGTTTTAGTAACAATTAAGTCAGTATTATCTTTGATTCCATTAGATAACAAATGATTATTCTTTCTTTCACTGTTAGTTAAACTATTTGAATTTAAATTTTCTTTATTTATGTCTTCTTTTGGTGCCATAACTTTTCTTATTCTATCAAATGTAGCTTCAACATCTTCATCACTACTTTCTAAATCATTGGCTTCATCAACAGCAATGTTTCCTTCTAATACTTTTTTGATAGTCACTAATCGTTGGCGGATATCATTAGCTTGCCATCTGCCAGGTATTCGCCAATAAGTTTCCTAAGAAATTTTTATATTAAAGATATTTTTTTAAGTACGACTTTAAAATACAATTTTATTATTTCACCTGTATCCCAGAAGGTTTATGTATTCCTATAGCAACCATTGCATTTTGGAATGTAAGATCATTAATAGCTGTCATACATTCATTAGTTAAAGGTAATAAAGGTACATCTGATTCATCAACACCTAGATCCTCTGCTGCCTCATCTAAACTTTCAATCAACCATTGTAATGCAGACTCCATACCATTATCAACAACTTTTTTCAAGGCATTAATAACAAAAGATGATGTCAAACTATGATAAACAGGTTGGTCGTCATAATTATCTTCATCATCTGATTCATTACTTTCATCACTTGAGTTATTAATATTTGCACCATGAGCTTTAAATATTTTTAAAAATGCGACTTTATTATAAAATATTTGTGTATAAATAAGTAGGCTAGTAGCAACACTCATAAGTGATTATAATGAAATTATCCAAAAAAGTGAACAAGTTAAAGAGTTTACCAATCAACAAAAAAATGTTAACTACAATTTTTTAATTTTTATTATTTTTTTGGATAATTTTGTGATGATCACTAGTGACTTCTAGCCTACTTTGATCAAAAACTCACATTTATTAGAAGTCTTCCCTCTTTTTTTTCTTAACTCTTTTCTATCCCTAACTAATCCAAGTTCAAGTATCTTATTAATAATTATTTTTTTTGATCGCTTTACTTCTAATTTATTTATAATATGTCCAATTGGATCAGCTGCTTCTTTAAATTCATAAACCAATTGAGTAATTTGAACAATTTCAGCTTCAGAAAACTCTCTTGATGGTTTCTACAAAATTAAAATATCAATAATGATAAAGTTTAATACACATATTTTTTTTCAATAATATAAACTAATGTTAATTTATAACACGGATATTATTTTAGATAGAATATTATTTTTAATGCCATAGGAAAAATTTATACAATGAAAATAAAAAAAATTTAAGCATTAAAGATACAAATTAATTTTGTTTTACCAATTTTTTAGTAACAATATTAAGTTGCCTTAATTTTTTAAGAACACTTATTCTAGAACGGTCTTGTCGAATCATATTCTTACATATCCATGTCACTTCATCTAAAGAATTTAAATGTAAATGTTTTATTAAAAAGTATGATATCAAAATAAATTTATAAATAAAATTATATACCTTCATTATTAGGTGTGTCACGAATATATTCTTCATGAAGTCTATGTAATTCATCTTCTTGTTCTTCTGTCCAATTAGTTGATTTTTTAATATTTTGTTCTGCATTATATCCTTCTTCAATTTCATAAGCAATTTTCAAGTCCTTCCAGAATAGCAGTTCCATAAAGACTTTTTTATTTTTACGAGCCACTTCAGTAAATTTTCTAATTATATATATAGCAAAATGTCTAAGCTCCTATAATAGATTGTTAGATATAACATTTGATTTTCAAAATTTAGTCAAATTATTTTTAATACTTTATGATTTGGATTAGATGACATAAAAATTTTCTGAAATATACGAAATATTGATGCTTGATACATCAATGCTTCATATTTGCAGTCATATGAAATACGATGAAGGAGTTTCACGAGTGCATGATTTGTGTATGAAGAATTCCTCTCAAAGTCTTTTAATAATTGACAACAGCTATGAAGAACTTTGGGTCTTGCAAATCTACGAAAATAATGTTAATTATATATTTAAGTTCTTAAGATTAACCCTCAGCTGATTGCATAATTCCAGAATATTAATTTCATTACATAGGATAATAATTTCTGTCAATGAAACTTTCCTTTTAAAATTACAATTTTTGTTAAATTGCGTAACTAAATTTTTATAAAAGTAGCCTTAATTCTCATATTTGACTATACTGTTTGCTGTTAGTACCCATACGGATGACCATACATGAACTTTATCAGTGACATACAACTTGTTCCCAGGAAAATTGGTTTCTTCAGCCATAATGTTGAATCAGGTTGTAAGCAGGTGTAAAAATAATTTTAAGGTAGAGTCAAACCCCAGGTAATTGGGAAAGAGGTTAAAGAGATTTAAAATTTTTTTTTTTCATTTTTTTGTAAAATTAACATTTGCTAATATAAAAAATTAATAATATATACAATATGTAGAAAATATGATTATTATTATTATTAAAAATAGCTATAATTATGAGTGTCAAATCAGTTAAGGTAAATTTATCTTCGACAGGCTATACATATTTGTAAAATTGTATAAAAATAAAAATACTATTCTGTGGAATGATGTAAATATTTAACCAACCCAAGCATCTGCAGAAATTTTGCATGGGGGGTAAAATATTTATTTGGTTTTACTGTCTGTTCAACAGACTTAGGGTCAAAGAGTAAGGGGGTAAGTGTGGTCATTGGCAGGGAACTGCACTTTTTTGGAGGCTTCACTAGAGGCGCAACAAGATAGAATACAACTTCCTTGGTTAACGAACTAATTCTCCGAAAAATAAAGAAAAGTATATATATATATTATCATATACATATATATTGTCTATTTGGGTAGGAAAAAATTATATATAGTATCTTCAAAAATGTTATTCTAATAGACGCTTATGGACCTCTCAGAAAAAAGTTATAAATAAAAGAATTTTAGTAATTTTATGTATTATTAATAAAATTAAGTATCTATATATTTAAAAAAATTATTTACAATTAATCGATAATTTTTGATGTTCTTAATCCTAAAATTCTTTATATAATTTAATAAAATTTATTTTTTTATTTTTTATTCAAAAAAAACTTATTTGTTAAATTTTATAATACATAAAGATTATGAAAACTGCCCCTTTTGCCACCTCTGTAGAAGCTTTCTACATTATAATACCCAACTTAAACACAAAAAATTGGCAAAGAACACCTATTCTTAAAGTTAATTTACAATATAAAAAAGAAAAATCTAAAAATATCACGATTTTTTTGCTTAATTTTTAAAAATTTTGAAAATTATGAGTAATTGTTTTTAATAAATTCAAAAGACAACCCTTAAAAAAATTAGGAGCATCAAATATTAGACCAGGCATCATTATCTTAAATATAACTCAGTAAATAATATAAGCTAAAACAAACAATTGAAATTTTACTTATAAAAAATATGAGAAGATTTCTCTCGCCCAAGAGAAATCTACATCTATAATTAACTCACATTACATTTAAAAATTTTACTTTTTAATGAAGTCAGAAAATTCAAAGTTTTCTTCTTCAATTCGTGTTTCGTCTTCATCTTCTTCTAAAAAATCAAAATGATACAAATGAAATAAGTTATCCAGTTAAAAGACATCATATGTGTATGGTATAAAAAATTAGTATTAATAATTAAAATTTTTTTTTAATCTTATAAGGGTTTTTAATCTAATAAAAGGTAATCTACTAAAATAAAGTAATTTATATTTTAAACTTTTAGTGTTAATAAATAATAAAATACCATCAGTTTCTTCTTTGTCTTCATCATCATTTTGATTATTAGATTCAATTTCATCATTATATCCTAAAATATATGCATATATTACTATTATTTATAAATAAGACAAACCAAAGAAAATAGATATTAAAATTAGTTAATTTTTATAGAAAATTTATTATGTTTTTATTTAAATCAAATGAGTTTGGTTTTTCTACTTTACATTAAAAAATTATAAATAATAACCTTCTGGCATTCCAAGGTCAGCAAAATATATTTGTTTCAAAATATCAAGTTCTTCATCAACATTTAATTGTAATGCACCAAAATAACCATTTTCTGGCCAAACTTCTCTGTATGTGATACAATATTGATAATTAACAATTTGATAATACTGATAACTTACAATTTTAATGAAAATTTTTCTTCTTTTAGTAGATAATTATTCTATGAAATTTCATTTAACTTGCATTTATAGAGCACATAAAGTGATAAAGCAAAGGTGCTTTTAAGAATATTAGTAATATTGGGAAGTGGGTAGAGAATCTACAAAAACAATTGGAAAGGTTATTCACCTTAATATCAAAGTGTGATCAGATCAAGGATTACTACTAACAGTCATTATGATATGGTAGAGAATCAAGAGAGACTAGGAAACAGAGAAGCAAATATGTCAACAGTTAAAATTAAAATAGGACTTATTGTTCAATTTTTGTTTCATTACAATGTAAAACAATATTTCAGTTTTAATAAACTAAAATATTATACATAAATTGATATAAATTTCATGAATTTTATTCACACATTCTTATTTTATTGAGGAGGAGAAATTAATGTATACAAAAATCTATACTTGTGTTCCTTTACAATAGGTCCTGATATTTATAGAAGATTTGAATTAAAACGATAAAATTATACTAATTTTTTTTTCCATATGAAAAAAATGATTTTAGTCAATATTTATATCAAAATAATATCTTAACAAAATAATACATAATCAATTTGAGTGATTGGAACTTTATCAAATTACCTCAACAATTTGGTACAAGCATTTTTAAATTATTAAGAAAAGATTTTTGGTGAGCTAAAACAAAATCTAAGTATTTTTTTTCTCATATATGTTTTTTTATGTAGAAAATGAACTAACCTTGAAGCTCTTAAAAGTTTTATAGATTCTTCTAAACGGTTATTTCTCATATGCATTCTTATGCGACGCATGGCTTCAATTCTTCAAAATAAAAAAGTAATTATAAGTATATAAAATTATAATTATTGTAAAAATAAGTGTAACAACTTTTGATCTTCCATAGGAATTACAGATACAGGATCATAAGGTCTAGCTTCAACAGCGTCAACAATTAAATTATTAGTTTGCATTATTTTTTTCAATGTGGGGAAAATATTATCCCATGTAATATCCTCAATATCGTTGTTCAATGTAGCTTGAGATTTTACAGCTTAAAATTTAATAATTAATAATCATTTTAAAAATTTAATTTATTACAAATATAAATTAATATATTTTAGAACAAATACTAATAAAACTAACTTTTAACAATTTTTTTATTTGTTTTTTTCACTTTACGTTGTANACAAATACTAATAAAACTAACTTTTAACAATTTTTTTATTTGTTTTTTTCACTTTACGTTGTACGATTAAGTTACGTTGTTTATTTTTTAAATTTTCCAGTAATTTCATAAAAACGTGATTGGTTTCAACTAAGTCTTTTAAATATAACCTAGGGCATTAATATTTTAATAATTTAATACTGCTTATTTAGTAACGTTTACTATGAATTATTGAGTAAATACAATTAAAAATTATCATTTAAATATATTACCTGGAAAATTTAACTTCATCATAGAACTGAAATAACCCTAATATCATATCTCTGTACTCCACAACATAAAATAGATTAGTTAAAATGGTACGTGCACTGGATTCCAAAACAGCTTCTTTACTTTGGTACATCACTAAGAGTGTTTCCATCAACTCCTAGATAATTTTTAAGTAAGTTTTACTATTGATTTAAAGCATCTATAAACACAGAGTGTCACCATGTTTTGACATCTTTAATAACTTTTAGTCCAGCAAATATTTTGCGTCACTTAAAAAAAAAGGTAATCTTGGTACAACTTGTACTGTTATAAAAATTTAATACATACCCTGCCATCACTATATAGTCAATCTATATATTAAAATGATTGTACCTTAAAAAGTACATATCCTAAAGTTAATAAGAGAAACCATCTGTAAGTATAGATTATAGAAGATTTAAATCAATAGTGATTTTTCCAACAACAGCTATTTTTGTAATTACCAAGTATAAAACACAATATGCCAGGGAGCTTTAAAAATAGAACTACAGGAATAATACCGCTGACACAAATGAGATTATCAATAGAATATTTGAAAAAGTTAATTTGAATTTATTTTACCCTAAGATGAATTTTTTAGAATGCATCACATATTCAGTTAATTTAAGTGAAGTAATACATTTTGAAAAAATTACTTTATAAGCCTTAAGTCCTAAGTGCATACGTTTAGACCACACAGGTATTTTCTTTTTATCTGTTAACAATTTTTCACGGCTTTCATCAATACGTTCTTGAACAAAATGAAATATATGTAATGCCATAGTTTCACTAAAATTTTTTTTAAAAATAAAACGACTTAAAATCTAGATGCAAAATATATAAATTTATTACCTTATAAGTTTAATTTCAAATTTGTAATAACGATTAAATTCCATAAAAAACTGCATAGCCCAAAAATAATATGATTCATCATTAGGTTGCCCTTTTGAACGAACTAAAATCTCCTGTTTAAAATAAATTTAATTATAGAAAGAATTAATTAATATGAATAAGACTGTTTTTCCCTAAAATTATATTCTAATTAGAATTGAACTGGTATTTAATGTCAGATGATATATATTTATAGTTTTATCAATTCAACATTAGGACCCTTGCACTCACAGTGTGATATATTTAATTTTTTGATCCAATAATACTACATCAGTATTAATATTGGGTTATAAATAAAAACTGAGACTGATTAGTCTAATTTGGTTTATATCAGTCAACATTAAATACTGAATCAACCCTTGTTCTAAAATATATTTCTCTAATTACTTAACATAGTCAAATATTTTTTTAGCTGTTACTAAATTATTTTTAATTAATAAAATAAGAAATTATTAATATGAAAAAATATTTAATTAACTTTCTGATTAAAATTAATATAATTTTATACTAACTGACTAAATAATTAAATAAGAAAAAATGTTTAATTTATTATCTTAAATTAAGAACACATTTAGCAGCAAGAGAATAAAATGATTAAAAATGTTAAATTACTCGAACATGTTTCATTAATGTATTATAAGATCCATGTAGAAATTCTACGCAAAATTCTTTTAAAAATAGTCTGACACTAAAAGCAGATTTTCGTTCAATACCAGATTCTTTTAAAGGCATTCTGTTTCGTGGTGTTTTCATAGGTTTCTACATAAAAAATTAAAAAAAAAAAAAAAAAAAAATTTGATTAAAATAAAAAAAAATTAGAAATTTTAAGTAACAATTATACTTTGTTTCGATCAAATGCTTTATTAACATTGGAACTCATTGAAGAAACAACCATTTCATTGTCACCTATAGATTTCATACCAGCTACAACATAACGTCCACCAAACCTAGAATGTCTTGAACCACTATACTTCTTAAGTTTTTCCATTTTTTCTAGACGTTCTTTTCTCAGGACAGCTATAAGTTCTTGTTCATCCCTTTCTTTTTCAGTTTCAGTACGACTAACAGAAGCATTTGCAAGTTCTGCTGCATTTTGATCACGTAACATTAAAGAAATAATCTACAACAAGATATATTGTTGAACTTAATAAATTAATTTCAATATATTTAGTTAAAATTTACTTCTAACGCATGTAGATAATACTGTTGCTCATTCTCTGAACATGCAATGTACATAATAACATCAATAATTTGGCTTTGATGCATTGCCCATAGAACCTTGCAATAAATATAATAATATAATAGATATATATATATATAATAATATGTCTATATAATAGACATATTATCTTTTTTCATATAAATATAATCATAATTAATCTTCTTACTTGATCATGCAAGCTAGCATCATTATCGGGTCTACATTCTGCATCATTATCAGCAGGAACATGAAGTATGTTTCTAATTAATATAAGAATTCTTACGGTAGATAAAACTTTTTCTTCTCCTTTTTCATGGTACTCCTTAAAATTTAAAAACAAAAAAAACCATAAAAAGAATTTGAAAATTAAAAAAAAATATCATACAGCTTGCATAACTTCTGCTAGTTTATCAACAATAACTTTCCAAACTTTAACATCTGTAAAAGCTTTCTTATATTTTTGCAAATGTAGTATCATTTGTAAATAATACTGGGAAGGTATTTTTTCAACAGGAGGTTGTTCATTATACAACAACAATGCTGGAGTAGTAAGATTAACTAAAAGCCGCACAATTAAATCAAACAATTCGATTTTGTTAGAATATTCAATTAGTATAGGTATTAAATCTGATTGTACAATATTTGCACTTCCAAGAAAACGCCTGATTTCATGATCATCACCGTCACGCCGTAAAAATTTGATTAAATCACGAACCGCCTCTAATAAAAAAAAAATTGTATTAAAAAGATAATACAATAATTCAAAAATAATATATATCTTATTTGTCATACCCTTACACTGCGGGTCAATAAAATATTTTTCTGCTCCTGTATATCCCAAAGCATTACAAGTAGCAGTCAATTCTGCATGAAGAAGTGCCATGTTTAAAGTTTTCAGAACTAATTCATTTCAAATTTACACGTTACTCACTTAAAGTTTAAATGAATGGACATAAAACATTTGTTTTACGATTTGGCGGAAGTGTTATGGATTAAGTAGATCAAATATAATAAGAGTTACATGTTGATAAAAAAATTATTGAAAAATCGCGGGAAAAAGTAGTGTAACCAACATAATTTCATAAATATATTTTATTACTGAACTAATAAATGTTGTGTTTAACAATCGTAAATGTAAAAGAAAACATTTCTATGAGAAAAATTAAACTTAGGTAATATTATAAATAATATTCATGTTTATTTGATTAATTAATAATCATTCTACGTTCACAGACATATGAAAATGTATAGTTTATCATACAGTCTATGCTATACCAATCGATTCATTAAAATCCATAAACTTTTCTATCAGGTTTTGATGTACCTAAAATTATTTCTTAATTGAACACTTTTAAATAAACGCCTAAACTGTTTTTTAAATTACTTTTTGAAATAAATAAATAAAATTATTTTTATATAAATGTACTATGAATATTATTCATAGTGCTATAATTAATAAATAAAAAGAAAGTATTCATTGTGTTGCATATTTTATTATTTTATGCAGAACTAGAATGAGACGTACAGAAATTTATCACTGGGCGTACAATTAACAGGAATAAAAAAATTAACTTTGGTATGAGTAGCCTTTTTTTCATTTTTTATTCGGCTGTTGTAGTTATACAATGTACAGACGTAGATATAAGGGGAGATACAGGAATTTTATCCAGTGTGGTACACGGAGGGAGCTGGCAGGATTATAGACCACATTTATAAGCCCAATTTCAACAAAATTTTTGGAGGGGCTCGTTATATGTAATATCTCCTTCTTAAATTTTTTTTATATAATCATATATATAATTTGTCTGACATTTCAGCTAAGTCTCCCCAATTATCTGTACATTGATCATGATATACATATAGTTACAATTAAAAATGCACGACTTAGACACTAATAAGAACATATGATAAGCAAAACAATAAAGCGAACTGAAGAAAGTTAAGCTTTTACTCTAATGTTTTTTTTAATGTAACACACGTATATACAAAAATAGTATCTTTTTTGTCTTATAGGAATTTAAAATATTCCAAATTATTTTAAATGCGATTTATCACTAAATGAATAAGTGTTAACACATCAAATATGACGTACATATACTCATATATTAACCTAGATTTTCGTTATGGGTACACGCGTAGATAGACAATTATAAAATGGGTAAACGCTATGTACCCTCGATTACATCACTATTTATACCAATTTAACTTGAAAATAGAATATTTTATTGATTTTAAATTATAAAACCACATTATAATTTATAATATGGTCGTCGGTCAGTCACTTGATGTTACACAAAAAGTTGCGGTTGCTCGGTGCTTTGACAGCATCCCCACGGTGTCAATGCTTTATCCTTTTGTGGTATTACGAGTTTCCGTCTCAATAGATAATCGCCTTATTCCCTGGATTATTGTATGCAATTTTCCACAAAAAGGACATTGCTCTGATATAATAAAAACGTTTAACATAAAAGTGCTTTTGTATCAAGAGGATTTCACTGTTTTGTTGACTGAATTACTACCGGCGAAAGGTGCGTTATCGCCACAGTGTTGGGTTGAAAGTGAGCATTTTTATGATAATTTATGTTACAGGTTATTTGTTTGTTTAGTTGTATATTTTCAAAAATAGAATTCAAAAGGACGTGTATGGTAGAAAGGGTAAAGTGACGGCTCACGCTTTAAAACCCGATGGGGTCGGTCCGTAGCAACAATAATTATCGTTAGTGGGTTTGGGGTGTATAAAAGAGAAACGTTTTAATGGAACGTGTAATATATGACATCTTTGTTTTGCAATTCTGGTATGTAAAAGCTACTATTTTCTTGCGTTTACTATTTTAGACCATTTAAAGTTGGTCGTAGAAGAGTATTGAAGCTATAAAAAAGGAAACGCTGCATTAACAAAATGTGCAATTGGTATAACCAGCAATAACAATTATAAGAAAATGAGGCGTAAGGAGAAAACAATAAAGGTAAACAGTTTTGATTATTTTATCTTTGCACAAAGTTGTTTGTTTTGAAAAGTTATCCGGGTAACAGTGGAAATGATCTCTTATACTTTTCATATCGATTTATATTTCGATATTTGCCTTACTGTTGTCGAGAGTAAATATATTATAGTTTTTAAAATTACGTGGATTAATTTTTCTTTTTATCAACTTTTTGCCGAACACTTATGTTTACTTTTAATCTTAATAGAGAATATTTTTATTCTGAGCCATTTTTAGTTTATGATCAATTTTAGTGTATAGATGTCTTTATATTTACAATTTATTTTGATATAAAGGTGCTCATTGTGAGTAAACAACTTGTATAATATATAAGTTATACTAGGTATTATCTATTAAAAGTAACAGTGCCCATAACTCATTCCCGTGTGTGTCATAGTAATGAGAAGGGGTCTTAGCTCCTGCCCCACCAAAAAAGTTGCCGTATCCCTCCAAAATTTTTAGAAAATTATATGTATTTTTATAAAAATATAAATATTCACATAAAATGAAATTTATTCACACTGGTTGAAAAAATTGAATACGTTTTGATGAGATACTATTTTTGCTGATATCTGTTTTATGAAAATAAATCAAATAAATGTTTGGCAAAAAAAATATATTTATAAAATTAAAACGCAAATAAATATATTTTCTAGCACATTCTAAAGGTGTGATAATAATAAAACCCTTAAAGAGTTTTGTAAGAATTTTTTCAAAATAAATGTTAATAAACTTTTATAAAAGGCAATGGATTTTTAAATTTTAACAACTTAGTGTAATAATCGAAAGGATTCATGTAAAGTGGAAGAGTATTGAACTAATAAAATCAGGATAATAAATCATTGCACGGATTGTTTTTGACAATTTATCTTGTCGTGACACTCACTTTGGTTGTATTCGATTTTCCGTCGTATTCAGTCGACTAATCCTCCAATCTTTACACACTTGAAATGTCCGAAAGTACACCTCACTGAATTTAAATTTGCAAACTTTACGATTTTCATTGACTACGAAATGATACACGGTTTTTGTGTGAATAAATTTTCTTTTTTTCACTTAAATAGAAAAATAATTAGGTAGTCTTTAAAAACTCAAGTGAAAGCCTAAACTCTCCCTATGTGCCATTTTAGATATGTTTTTTACTACACTTACTACAAAATCATTTATACAGTTTATGTACCAATTTTAATGTTGTAAACTTAAAATGTTAAAGTATTCATCATTTTTATTTTAGAAATTGTTTATTGTTGTTAAATTTGATCTTAAAACGCTTCGATACAAACTTATTAATGGTATAAATGTGTTGCACTTGTATCCTTATAAGCTACAAAAATTTTATAGTCTTAGTTTTTTAGAAAAATTAAGTTCTTAGGATGTCGTAGAATATTAATATTTGTACTCGAAAGTATTGAACTCTGAAGTTATTATATTGTAAGCCTTTTAGGTATTTAATGGTATGAGCGGCCATGTGGAAGTACGAATTTAATGGACTAGAAGCATTGTGCCCCCATACTGTATATTAACTCTTCTTTATTCTGTAAAAGGTTTTATCATTTTGTAAAAAAAGATATGCCTACCGCATATGATTTATTTACACAACAGTTTGCTATTATGTTTGACAACAAAAAATGTCTACTTATATTTATATTATAGTAATACAATATTTTACTCTTAAAAATAAAACATCTTAGTCACAGTGAATTTTATTTTATTATCTAGATTTACATTTTTTTTTTTTTTTAAGAAAAAATTGGTTTTACAAAATACTTGTTCTTTTACTTGAAAATGTCTATGTACAAGTCCGACAGAATAAAATCATAATTTTATTTTTAATTAACCAAATTATTAAAAAAATTAATGATCAGATATGTTTTGTGACAAATATTTTCTTCGATTAAACAATATTTTCCTTTATAAAACTGAAATTTGACTGATTATTTATGTTTGATTAAAATTGATAATTCTTTCTCGTTCAGGTTTTAGAATATCTACTAAAGACCAATGATGTATAATATAAAATACACAAACCAGCGTATGCAATTCACATTTTAATCAATGTAGGTACACAGAGTTTCCATTAGTTGTGATAGAATAGTTAATGCGAAAGGACTACCGAAAGAATTTTTATGGTTCAACTGTCACAAAATGTGTCAAATATAATCTCCTTTCTCTGCAGGTTTATACGTTTATGTGTATACAAGGTAATTTATAAAATAAATAGTATCACGACAGCGAATTCATTACAGAAATTTTGTTGAGCCTCCGGCTTATTTTTACTTTATTATTTTTAAACGTAATGATGATCGAGAGCGGTTTTTTTAATTAAATAAATAAATATTTAGATTAACGTCAAGAGCCTTTAATAAGCCTAGTTTATTTATATGTTTAAATGCTGTATGTTACTACATGTGTAGCGAAATGGTTAATTTGTTCAAGTAATCATCAATATTTCTCATGTCTAAATACAAGTATATTTTTCTTTTAATTTCAATCAGAACGTATTAGCCTACTGCTTAAATATTTTACACACATTATGAAAATGAGAAATAAAAGCTTAATAATATTTACAGTGTAATTTATTAAGAATACTACCCCTCATTTTCGTCAAATAATGATTTTTTTCTTATAAAAAAAAAAACAAATTAAAATTTGATTTGTTTCTATAAACCATAGGAAATAATACTACGTTTATTACAAGAAAAGAGTACTTTTAAGCGTATATCTTAAAAATTGTCACATATATCAGACGATATTGAGTACCGGATTTCATATTGATTTAGTCTCATTCACGTACAATAAAAAGAAGAAAAAATGGTAAAATTAAATATTTGTCGTTAGATAATTACTTGAAAAAAAATTGTCATTAATTTGTTCTATTGAATTTTGATTCCTGTTGCGTCGCTCTTTGACTTAACAATAATGGAATGAAAGGGTAGTGAAAATCGCGTTATTAACCAATGGCAACACTGCCAACCCGGTGGATAAAAAACAGGAGTATATACGCGTGGTAACTAATATCGCCGGGAACTACCACACAGGCCATGTACTCTGAAGGAAAATTATATCGAGTCAGTCGTCTTCGAACTGTTCTCATGTGATCATGTCTCTCTGGAGCTTTTTTTAACCAATTACGTAGTGGAGTGATTCAAAAGCTTCCCAAGCAAAATAATTGTGTGCAATGTAAACATTTTGTGCAACACTAATATAGAGCACAACGAAAATTTGGTAAATATAAACTATAAATGCTTTATTGTTTTAATTTTTTTAATTGATTCAATTAGAAAAAAAATCATAATTTTTTATTTTTGAAGATATAATAGAAAATATATTGTTTTAGAAAAATATATAACTTTCAACCATTATAAAAAAATTTTTCTTACATTTTTTTGTCAACCATTAATAGCCACTTAAATTTCCTTCTAATTATTAATTTTAATAAAGTTAAATATTTTAACTTATATGAATAATAAACATGTATTCCAAGCACCTTTTTACTTAAAAAGTTATTTTTAAAAATTTTTTATAAATATAATATTTTAAATTATTATTTATATGTCTATTAAAAACATAAATTATCTGTTTTATATTTTTCGTACATTACTTTTGTAAAGAACATAAACACGTTTAAAATAACACGTAGTATAGTATTCCCATCTCAAATAGAAATAATTATATCAATTTTCAATACATAAATGTATTTTTATTTTAAATTTCTATCAGCGAGTAGTATACATTATACGGAGATAAAAAATATACGTTGTGTTAGCTTTTGAATATTTTCATAATATTCAAAACACGCAGAACCACTTTTTTGTTTCACAATAAAGCTTAGTAAGCACATTACAATAGTATTGCGCTAAGATATTGTAAAGTAAAAACCATTTGTATCGTTGTGGATTTCACTATAAATTGACATTTTCAAAAATACAATCATAAAAAATAAATTTTAAATGCTATTAAACTGAACAAACACAAACTGATATTATGAAAATTTGCTTTTATTTTTTTTCCCTGTATACTAAACGTCGTTTAGGTTCATTCAGTTCCAATTAACTTTTAGTAAAGATAGAGAAATTTCGTCAAGACTTATGGCTCATCGTAAATAAGGATTTTCTGTAATAAAAACTTTATACGTTTTTACCAATTAACTTTTAAAATTATAAACCGTTTATATTTTTTGTTATTTATACTGAAAGGTATTATCGAGAATTATAATCAGATGTTTAGTTCAGCGTTTTATGACCATTTAAGAGCTTGTAGCACCAAAAATGAGTGAAAAACATTATGCTATTAAGATGGCAGTAGATACTCATGGAGTGAAATGTTAACGTCCAATTAGTTTTCACGAGGATTTACCGACAAATCATAAAATCTGTGGTTAGACAAAAGAAACTGGCAATTTTCGATTGAATGTTTGGTGTAGTTTAATATCATACAAATTCTTATCTAACTTTTTTTATAAATTTTGTTATTATTAAAAATAAATGTATTACATTTGTAATGATAGAATATATTGAAATAAGTTTAATGACTTATTTATAAATTTATTAAGTTAAAAATCAGGTTTTAGTATTAAAATAAAATAATTGGATTTTCAGTAAGATCTAAGATTGGAAAACTAAAATTTATATTTAATTAGCATTTTTTATTTTTTGCGATAAGAATCATACTGTAATAGCAGGGACAGTGTCTATATTATAATATAGGAGTGGGTAAAACCTATTTTTTTTGTAATCAAACATTTTTTTAAATATACTTCCGGAAAAACTGTAATAAAATAAACAGTTCTAATAATGTAAAATAATCAAAAACATACACTGAATCCACATAAAGTTGGCAACTCACGCGCTTATTTTTACCCATATTTCAAAGTTATGCAAAGTTAAAAAAACATTAATTTTTTCCAAATTGGTTTTACACGACAGCTCAAAATAAAGTCCGAAATTTTTTTTTCCCATAATAAAATATATTACATTAGATTTAATTTAAGATATATATAAAAGTGTCAGACTTTCCGGAACACTTTCAAAATTTAAGTTGAAAAAGTCAATTTTTTGTGAAAAAGTTGTCATTTTGAATCCCCCCCTGTAGGCAGGTAAAAAGTCAGATTTATAAAAAAAATATACCAAATGATAGGTAAAGACATCATGCATCTACAAAAAAAAGAATTATATTGATCCATACATCTTTCGAGAAGTTATAGCATTATAAAGTTAAAAATATAAAAAAGAATTTTTTTACAAAAATCGTATTTTTTTTATTAAGTTTAATGTCTGTTTTCACCATGAAGATAAAATAAAGTCCGAAATTTTTTTTTCCCATAATAAAGTATATTACATTAGATTTAATTTAAGATATATATAAAAGTGTCAGACTTTCCGGAACATTTTCAAAAGTCAAGTTGAAAAAGTGAATTTTTTGTGAAAAAGTTGTCATTTTAAATCCCCCCCTGTGGGCAGGTAAAGGGTCAGATATGAAAAAAACATATACCAAATAATAGGTAAAGACATCATGCATCTATAAAAAAAAGAATTATATTGATCCATACATCTTTCAAAAAGTTATAGCATTATAAAATTAAAAATATAAAAAAGAATTTTTTTACAAAAATCGTATTTTTTTTATTAAGTTTGATGTCTGTTTTCACCATGAAGATAAAATAAAGTCCGAAATTTTTTTTTACCGTGATAAAGTATATTACATTAACTTTAATTTAAGATATATATAAAAGTGTCAGACTTTCCGGAACACTTTCAAAAGTTAAGTTGAAAAAGTTCTATTTTCTACATGCATTTTTTAGATTTGAACCCCCCTCAATTAAAGGGAAATGGTCCGATTTAAAAAAACAGTACGTCAAATGAAAGATGTATATAAAGACTACTTCTCATGAAAAAATTGTATTGATCCATACATTTTTCAAATAGTTGTAGCATAATAAAATTAAAAATGTAAAATACAAAATCGAAAATTTCCACACAAAAATAGCATTTGGTAGCCATTTTCACCGTGAAGATAAAATAAAGTCCGAAATTTTTTTTTTTCATGATAAAGTATATTACATTAGCTTTAATTTAAGATATATATAAAAGTGTCTATACAAAAAAAAAAAAATAAACACATCTTAGTAAAACCAATACCTTCTCAGCTTCGCGTCGAAGCTAAAACATATAAACATGTTTATAATAAAATTTTTTTTTTGGAAAATCTTAAATTTTTCACTTTATTGTTTTAAATGTGCACAATATTTTAGTAACATTAACTAATAATTTAACTTGTATAATGATTAAGCTGATTTCAAATAATATTTTATAACAAGAAATTTAATACATACTAAATAATATAACATACTAAATTCATATAATCCGATTTATGTGCATTAAAATTAGATTCAATTACAAATATATAATTTTATTCTGTGTAAATAATTAAATAAACAACGAACAATGATCTACAGAAAAGTAGTATGGTGGTATTTAAAATAATAAGAAAAAAAAATTAAGATTTTTCAAAAATTTCAAAATAAAAATATTTTATCTTATTTTTAAAAGGAGACGTGTCTTTCTCTTGCCTACAAATGGACTCTTATGCATCATAGTAATCTATTAATTTTTCAATTTATATCCTAATCACCAATTAATTTATTTTTGTTATAGTTATATTAGAAAACTCAGTATTGAATATCTAGAAAATGCCCCTAATTATATATTTGTTGTTTGTTAAAAATAAATAATGCGCTGATATTTTTAATCTTTCTTTGAGATTTAAAAATTGAAATAGATAGTAAATTAAACATATTTTTATTTAAATACAGGAAAAATAATATAAGTAAATACATTGTATACATAATAGTACTTTGATTAAGTCTATAGTTTTTTTATTATTATTATGCTTGTAGACTTAGTTAAATAATAATCTAATAGCTTATAGCTATTTTATTTTACCATTAATCTTACTTTTTAACAAAATACTATATTTTCTAGACGTGCTCATTGACCTAGTTAACGTACAGGTGATCGTAAATATTCCGGTTGAATAGACTTAAGGAATCCGATTGTTCATTTAAAGTGCCTCTATAAATAAACAACAATAGCTTTGAGTAGCGCCATGAATTCGGTAATGTAGTCCCTTTTGACCAAAATCATCAATCGTATCTAAGCGCAGCTACAAACGGTTGGGTTTTGAGAAACAAATCCAAGAGTATTCATCTGGAATTTTAATTGTCGATTTTCATTGTTCCTATAGAGCCGTAAGAGCTAAAGTGGAGGGATTTTGTTATTAGCTCAAGTTTTATTTATCGTTTATTCGTGGGTGGTTTTTGTAGTACATTAGAAACCAATGACAATCGGTAGTAAAATGTTCCAGTAAAACAATGCAGCCAAGAGTAACTCACTCACATCTTTTTTTTTTTTTTTAGTGATAAATTGTTCTTATTTTTGAAAGTGCCTTTGTTAGAAAGTTGTGTGTTTTACAAAACTATTGATTTTACGCTGAATACCGAAGCATTTGATACGTTTTTGTTGGCGTGCAAAATAGTGTAGACAAATAATTCGAAAATAAACAGAGAAAAAATCAATTTGTGGGCATCTCTGAACCAGCCAATGACTAAGAATAACAAGTAGGTTGGGATGTAGCCAGAAGTATGCAGTCAATACAAACAAATGACAGGAGAAATAAACCATTTACGTGTTTGAGCGAAGGAGAATAATTAATTATAAGTTGTCCATGCAAATGTTATGAAGAGATGGAAAATACGATTTATCTTTTAAGAGTATTATTATATAAAGGACTAGTCTCTTGTAAATGCAGGCTTAGGTCTGATTGGATTATTTTTGTGTTCAGCCAACTTTCTAAACAGATTTGTAATACCTTTTCTCACGGCGTCCCTCTTTCACATAACAAAGCATTATATTCCTCCGGGAAAACACCATTTTTTCTTCCTCTTTATTTGTCTTGGACCACCGTGTCCTCTTACTTCTCCACCCTACGTGAACTATCTAAATAAGAACTTCCACGAATCTTGGAGCAAGTCATGCTTCCTATTCGCTCTTACTCTGTTTGCATACAAAATCCAATACATTTTTAGGCTGCAAACGGTGAAATTATTCTTTGCTCTTGTCAGTTTTCTTTTCATTTTATCGTTAACATGTTCGTTTCAAGGGCTTATAAGCTTGATGCATTACATTGGCACGTGCTTGTGGTCTTATCTAAATTGCATACCTATACGTACGTCTATACTTTTGACGGTCACAAAATTGAATTTCTATTTAATCGCTATATATTTTATTCGATAATACGTCTACAATATTCTAGTAATTCAAGTGAGGATTAAATAAATAAAACGATACAACATCGAATAAAATAGTTTTGGTTGAAAATAAGTCAAACAATTTTCGTTTGGAATTTTTCGATTAAATTAAACGCTGAATCTCTGAAACTGTAATTCCAAATAAACTTTAATTGTACATAGCTTTTGATGATATAAGATTTGGATTTTCAAATAAAGTTTCTAACGCAGTAATAAATCAGAAAATTTAATTTGCCCATCTCTTACAAAATAATGAAAAATAAGAAATTATTCTTATAATTCTTCAGAGAAAGTTTTAGAACTTAAAATCTATACCTTGATGAACGAATAGCAACACGATAATTCGATTAGATAACTCATTATACATGAGATTTTCATTTGTATCCTTAAAAACGTTTTTTTTAAAGGTATCTATTAATTACATTATCTTTTTATTTTTTTAAATTTAACAAATCTTGAATAAATTGATAGCAAAAATAACTTAAACGTATAATTGTTTGTAAGAAATTGCCAACTGTTAACGTTAGTTAGATTTTATCTGTGTAATTACTAACAAAATAATGTTTACGAAAACGATAACGCGTTTTTGAATTGCTTTTTTCACGTTGTAACGCCTAAGGTCCTACCGTGTCGTTATGAGCGCTTGAAAATGTTTATTCCTCTAAAATAGATGTATACGTACTTAAAATTTATCGAATAATGATAGTATTAACAGGGGCTTAGAAATGATATGAAATAAACAATAAATTAGGGTTAGTTTACAAATTGTGTTTAATGCTGTGTTTAAATTCGGAATGAAATGGTTTATTTACTAAAAAATTTAATATAATTACAATTACACACATTCAGAAACGGAATTTAAATTGAACAAATTTAATATCACCACGAAAGATCGTAAAGGACGTGTGTATTTGAATATATTAATAAAAGTCTCACTGTAAAAGCAATCACAATTTCGTGGTAATATTCACAGTAGTTATTGTTAGCGAAATTATATGAATTTCGCAAAATAGAACCGTATGGAATATTGAATAGTGTAATTTATATTTTGCGTATATGCAAAGTGTGCTCGAACACACGGGAGTCATTAAAAAACGTAAACCGATCAATAAAATAGTAAAATTGGCATGGCTGTTGTGCTAATTTAATGATTAATGGGCCAATTTCAGTGTCGTTTATAATGAGTAATTCCACTTTGAAATCTATTTACGTAACGAAAATGTGACTATTAGTGTCAGCAATGATGGCAGCTATCAAGTTCTCGGATGTATTCATAAATCAAAGTATTATATGAGCTAGTAATTTATATGCATAATATTTATATACATATTTACACGCACCTATGCGAATACTTTGTTAAAGTAAAGGCGATTGGACCAAACACGGTCTAAAGAGGATTTAAGCATTACTTGGTAACTTAAAGCCAACGAAAACTTTGAATTTACATTTTAACCCAAACGTATATCAGTCACCTTAGACTTTCTCTTTGGTTGACGGTTATATGCAAAAACTTTGGCAAAAGAAAAGTTGTTCTACAATCTGTCATTCATGACAGACTTTAGATTTGAGCTCGCGACATTGGGTTGAAGTGAATACATTATTATTATTATTCTTATGTTGTGAATATTAATGAGCCATTGGTAAGCGAACAAAGTTAAACTGGTGTAAGTTTGCTGTATGTAAATGCCGTTTTACAAGCGCAACAACACTATACGTGGAAATAATACCTTGAATAGCAAAATACCGTTTTAATTAATATTATTTTACCTCGATATTTGTCATTTTTAGTAAGTTTCATTACATCTCATAAACTCCAGGAGTTGTAATCTTTGTTGTAATATTACATTTTTAAATAAAATTGTCCATGCCAATGTTGTTATGATAGAAAATTAATTTTTCTAAAATTGTTTAACAACTAGTTGAATCAAATTTTATGGTCAACATTTTAGAAAGTAAATGAAATATTTCATTAGTCTTTAATATTGATGTTTTTTAGAAACAAAAAATGTGCTTCACTATCCCTATACAGACTGATCCATAGGGCTTAAGAGTGTTAAATGATAATCCTTTTTATTTTAGTATTTTAAAGACTCGTTTGAGGAAGGTGAATAATAAACAACATAGACTTACAAGTATCATATTGATTTTGCCAAAAGCCACAAAAAGTTTGTAAAATTCCATATATTATATGGAATTAATTATAATTATGGAATTAATTCCATAATTATATTAAATTCCATATATCATATATATTTAAAGCATTATCCAAAGTAGAGTTGTAATATTGGTATAATTAAGCAATTTTAAATCTCTCATTTATTGTTAAAATCTAAAGTTTGTAATAATTTACTTTCACTGATGTTTACAAATAATGTTTAATATAACTATTTAAAAAAAAAATTAACACATTAGTTGTATATAAATTAAATGTAAATCTACGAATTATATTTATTAATGTAAATTTTGTTTCGTCCAGTATAATAAATAATGTATTATTCACAATATTTAAAAATTGTCAATTAGTAATTTTTCTCAAGAGCGTATATAAAATGATATTTTTTAGATTAAATAAATATGTTATAAGCTGTTATAAAATTAATTTCTAGTGACTATAGAAGTTTATAACACTGAGAATTTTGTTGATGGTAATAAATTTTCCCTCTAAAAATCTGGACTACAATGGCCTTTTCAGTTTTGAGTATTAAATAGCGACATCCCACCCTTAACCAAAATTACTGACTTTATTGCAAGGCTTGGTATATAGGTATCTGTATAATAATATAAATTCGAACCCATGTAGATAAAAATAAATAATTGTGTATTGTTCTAAAACCGACTGTAACCTTTAGTCTACTGTATATTTTATTACAAGGTGTGATGTTATTATAATGTTATTATTATGATATTTTGATAAAACACAAAGGATAAGATTCAAAGTTTCAATGATTTATGCCTCCACGTGTGCAAGTGTTCAGAACCTTGTAAAAATTTACTCATTGTTTTAAAATTAATTCTAAACAATATTTTTCAATTATAATATATTACCCATACGTGTGTTATTTTATACAATTATATGACACTTTTTTTAACACACGAGCTGGAATAGCTGAAATTTTTTTATAGCGGGTATCACACGAGTAAATTATTAAAGAGTTTGACAGAAAATGCTTTCAATTTTCAGAAAATAACAACCAGTGTTTGAATTAAGTCTTTTTAATAGAAAAATTTGAGATAGTATAATATTTTATATGAAGTCATTTTTCTTGCAACACATACACATATATAATTTTTTATTTTACTAATATCTGATCGATCAAAGATCATAATTTATAAAGATAAATAAAACTTTAATTAATATACTTTTATAAACGATTTCAAATTATTATGTATTTTTACAGGTATTCACTATGAAGTTATTTTGGTTGAAGACTGCAGGCATACGATATGATATGAAAAGGTTTAAGTATTAGATAAAATGACGGCTTTTAAGTCGTAAGTTCAAAATGTTAACAATGTTTATGATAAGATACGTTGTTTTTGCCTTGTTGATTTTAGTCACTGCATCAAAAATCCAAAATGAATGTGTTTTAGATTTGTTAAAAAATAATTTGAGGGACATTTACTGTAAGTTCATACCGTATGAAATTGATATTAGCTATCTCAATGGTACGACCCGGTTAGACGTATCAGAAAATGATATTGAAGAGCTTTACCTAACGAGTGGACAAAATGTAACTTTAAACGAAATAAATTTGTCCAAAAATAATATTTCAAATCCATGTACAGTGAAATTTAACCAGGTAATTCATGTAAATTCTTTAGTTTTGTCACACAATCAAGTAAAATATTTTTCTATATGTTCAACACCTAAAAACTTGACTTTGAGTTGGAATTCTATACAATCATTAAATAAAACCGACATGATAAATGCCACATACCTTGAAGTTCTAGATTTAAGTTATAACAATATATTATGGATAGAAAACGATACGTTTAGTGATCTTATAAATATTCAGTGGCTAAACTTACGAGGTAATAGGTTGACGAGAATTTCAGAATGGAATCTACCTAGTAATACATTACAACATCTTGATTTGTCAGAAAACCATCGTCTTGATCAGACAACCGCGTTTCAACCATTCGAAATTTTGGTTGAATTGAATATTGCCCAGAACGTTGATTTGGCTCCAGCAATTTTGGTTTCAAGTCCACGACTTCAAAAATTGGATGTATCTTTTACTAATCTTATAGAAGTACCAACAACGTCAGCTCCATTATTGGGATCTCTTAATTTAAGTGGAAATATGATAAAATCTATTCGCAGTGGTGATTTGGATGGTTTTCCACTGCTTAAAAAAATTGATATAAGTTTAAATCGTATAAGTTACGTAGAAGATGATGCATTTGGGAGACTAGATCTTTTAACTATACTTGATCTTAGTGATAATTTATTAGAAATAGTACCAAAAAGCTTACCTGATAGATTAGAAATACTTAATCTCAGTGGTAATAGGATTAATAACTTAACTATGGAAGATTTTCAAGGTTGTAAAAGACTTAAAAAAATAAACATTAGAAATAATAGATTGAGTTACATTCAAGATTTTACATTTTCATCTCTTACATTTTTAGATATTTTGGACGTATCTGAAAATCCTATCCAGCTTATCACTAGAGAGATGTTAGTGGGTCCTGTTAGATTAAAGCATCTTATAATGGAAAAAATGGAACCACTAGAAACAGTCTTATTTCCATTTACAGATACTCAATATTTAAGTCATCTCCGACTGATGAACAGTTCACATCTTGCTGCGATTTTATTTAATGATAGTGCAGTATTTTCTTCCTTGTTACAATTAGAATATTTAGATATAATGAATTGCAATATAAAAGTATTGCCTAGTAATTTACCTTATTATATGCCAAAAATGAGAAATTTATTTTTTAATAAACTTGACTGTTTTGGAGAATGGTTTAAGGAATGGATGTGTGAAATACACTCTTCGTGGGAAAAATATAATTACAAGATAAATTTAACAAATGTCAGACTAAGAAATGTGCTACCAACATTAAAAAAAACGCCCATTGATCAGCTGTATTGTATAGATAACTATGGTCAAGAACAATTGGTTTATGACATAGAATATTGTGCAGCGATTACTACAACGTCAATCAAACAAAATAAAATAATATTTACAGAACCAACAGCAGTTTTTGAACGATTGAGAGCTAAAACTGAACCCAAAATTTCACAAGTCATAACAGAAGTGAAACATCCTGGAATTGTGGTATTTTTTGTTATTATATTATCACTCATTTTCTTAGTTTTTGGTTCTATTTTGATAGGAATAAGAACTATTCCTATTAAAAATATACGATGGAAGCAAAGTAATGTAGACGTAAACTATCAGTCAATTGAAATAAAAAGTTTAGAAAGTTTAAACTATGTAGAAAGATGGTAAATTGCCAAAAATGTAAATAAATGTGTTCTTTATCAATTAATTTTTTTATTTTTTAAATAAATGACGTTGATTGAACTTTATTTTGTTTTTTTTTTTACTTTAATAAACTTATTACTAATAATAATATAAAACCAATAACAACATAAAATAAAAACCAAATTTTTTTTCTTTTAATTATTTTTTTGTATACTCATCACTCTACACAAATCCTAATAGTATATATAATTTTATACTATCTATTAGAGGTTGAATAAAAGATTGAAGTACCTCTCTTGGTTGCACCAGACTGTAGAAATTTATTCCGTTTTTTTATCATTGTAAAATTGTAAAAATAGTTATGTAAATTATTCAATTGGCAAAAGTTGTCATTGCCATAACATTTCGGGGTCGTTGTCTCCTATTCTATGGTTCCTGTTATTCGATACATCGGGAACTGACAAAAATAAACTATTGGCTAAGTTCTACATCTAAAGTACATTCATGTATTGTATTGTTATCAGAACCAAACTGGCTTTTCTAGTGCGATCCAAAAAAAATTTATTTTTAGTGAACTAAAAAAAAAGTCAAAATTCAATTTTTTTAAAGCTCTCTTGTCATAATATTTAAGCAACCCTTTGTGAAATCTTCCGATTTTCCGATCAACCAATCTTGGTTGTTATCTTATTTTAAATTGTGGTAATAAATTATATTGGTTCAGAATTAATGTGTAGTAATATTACCTATAAAATAGCTAAATTTAAAAAAATTAATTTTTTGTTACAATTTTCTTTTCTGGTAAAATAAAACTTTACATGAGAATAGAGAGAAACTGTATTTTTTGAACATTTATTTTTAATAAAAGCATGTATCATAACATAATATAAATGTATTTATTTATCTGTATCAAATATTACCGATGAAAAATTATAATTGATGAAATAGCATACTGAGACAAATTATATTTTATCTACAGCAATAATAATTGTTGTTATTTGATCAAAATTATATTTTTTCATTTTTGTAGCTCTTATATGGTCTATAATCGACCGATATTTTTGATGTGTTTTTCTCTTTCTCACTTTTTATAATGATTAAAAGTGTTTTAGTATTGTTTCCTCCGCGTTGAGTAATTGATGACGACTTCCGGGCCAGTTGGCGTTGATTTATGGAACTTTTTCAGAGCTTGATTATTTCTTGTCTCCTGTCGTTCTTTTTCTGACATATAGCTTTATATATTTTTTATATCATATATACATACGTACGCTAGTACAATTCAACATCTCAACCAGGTCACGTAAACAGTGAAATTGTCGGGTTGGGCTTAAACCACAAATAGAAAATCTTTTATTCTCTAAATATATATTTTTTAAATGACACAATTTTTTCGTATTGTTAGGCCGCAAAAACATTGATTAATATAATTTTAATTTAAAAATAACTTCCTTTTTTAACACTAGATCAATGATTCATACAGGATTTTCTATAATTAATATTAGTTAAAAGTATTAGGTTCGATGAAAATTAAATTAACAAAGATTTTAACATGAATAATAATAAGATATAATAAATTTATATTTTGATAAGATTACTGAGTCAAATTTGTGGATAATTGTGGAAAAAATAATAAAAAAAATTGCATAATATACAGGTGAAATATACAAAAAGTTCATTGTGAACTGGAATAACGTATGTAATGTAATGTATTTTATTCTTCGAGTTTACAAAATAACTATAGTAATGATTAACTTGTGTTCCATTCAATTTTAATTATGTTGTCAATTATTTTTCGACAGCAATGAAACATTGTTTAAAAATAACTTATCTTATAAATTATAAAACTGTTCATTAAATGTATTTTATTTTTCAAGTTTACAAAGTGACATTATTGATAATTAACTTGCTTTCCATTTAATTCTAATTATGTTGTCAATTATTTTTCGATAATAATAAAAAATTGTTTAAACAAAATATTAATTAAAATTTATAATTGCTTTTATGTCGTAAATATGAAGAAAAAAATGACAAATAAAATAAAAACTGTGTATGTTATTTTGTGTATTAAAAAAAATACGCACTTTAATTACGTGTAGAGGCTCGTGATATATATAAAATATCCTACATATACATAAAAAAAATAGAATTTTATATGTTTCTTCATGTTTGAATTAAAAAGTAAATTTGTATTACTTCTTAATACTTAGATTTATGGCAAATGCATTTAATTTGATACAATATTTATGATAATTGTCATGTTATAACAACGTGTGTAATAAACCAATATTTATTATGTATATAAAATAAAAATCAATTAATTAGATATAAAATAAAGCTCTTTTTAATAAAAAATATTTTTTTTCTCCATTAAAATTAGGTTTATTAGTTTCTTGACATTATTCCATTTTTTTGTAAATTAAATAAATTTTGTGTGATAAATATTATAATGTTGAAATTTTAAAATAGAAAAGCTTATAAGTTCTTAAAAATTGTAAAAATTCATCATTGGCAAGTATTCATTAAAAAAAAATGTTTATCCATGATAGTTTTATTATGTCTGGATAATCTTAATACACTATTGACATTTAAAAATACTAAGATTCTTTTAGTTTTAGACCCGGTGCCCTTCAGGCTGTATTACAGGTAAGTCTTTGATTCCTGTAGGAGTACCCTGTTATGCCGAGCATGACACGTGTTCTGCAAAAATAGTATCTCCAAAAACAGGTTATCTGAAAAATAGTCTCATTTCTAAATTAAATAATAATTAAGAAGATAATAATATGGCTACCAAATACTTGTATTCTAAATTATACATCATAGTAACCTACTAATTATTAATCAGTACAACACATAAGCGAAAGAAAACTTAACAATCATTAAGTTCAATCTTCGAATGCCGCGTTATTAGTTAAAACTTTATAAACTGATACAAAAATTTAAATAAAATTGATATGCACAAACCAAAATCATTTCTTACTAAAAACTATGCGAGTGGGTTTCAAAAAATGAAAAGAAAACTTCAAAACTCGGATAAAAAACAACAAATTTCAGATTTTAAATAAAAAATAGCTGAAGGCAATGAGCATATTTGATAAAAATTTTAAATTTTCGAGGTGTGCAAAATAATGTTCTCATCTTAGCGAATAATTTTCCCAGAATAACGTCGTTGAGTTCTTCCATTAAAAAAAAAAAATTTTAATCGGACACCGATAAGTAATTTTTCTAGCATTAATTAATTTTTCAATATTTTATTATATAATAAGATATAATCAGTAAGGAAAAAATTCAAATAATTGTGTAAAAATAAAATTGATTTTTAACATAAAAAAAATGATTTGTTCTTTAGTAAATTGAATAACGACTTGTATTTGGTGATTATATTTTTCAAAACGTTATTTCATTTTTTAACGTTATTGTCATTCCAATACTTTGCTTTTGTGATGATTAATGCGTTATTTTCATGATATCCTTACTTGATAAAAATATTTAGATAAAATATTTTCTCTTTAATGTTTTTTTAAATTATTTTAAAACGTTAACTATGTTTAAACAGGTTATACCCTTTCTTCGCGATTTTTCATTCATCTTAAATTTCTACACCTGACTTATTAAACCATGACACTGTCTGATGATTAATGTGAATTTGTTTTTATTTTTAAAAGACAAAATGTACTTTGTAACAATAAAAAAGTTATAAGATAATATATTGTACAATAGTACTCTTTATGAGCACAAACTTACTTGTACATGGACGAACACGGATGTTTGTTAAGTAATTCTATACACCAATTATACATTTTAAATGAATATTAATTTATTGTTATAAGTTACAACTAAAATCTATAGTGCATTATTTTTGAGATGATTTATTGCATTAGCTGCATTGAAATCAAAATAATTTATCGATTTTCAACGTAATAACTTTTTTTGTGCCTTAATCATAGTTATATACTAACATTTCATTTATAATTGTTTGTCGTTTAGTACTGTTACTTATTTTAGATTAATTGGATATAAATTTATTCATTTTACAAAAACTTAAAACAATATGATTCGAATTATTCCCTTTTTGAAGTTTAAGCTAGCCTTTATAATGAAATAGTTAAGATAAATAGCTAATTTTAAAACTAAAATGAAGTCCTAATAAATAATTTTAATCTTTCAATCAAACCATATAAGAAATATATTTTACTAGAAATTAATTTTGAGTTAGTACAAAATAATTATTATAAAATTATTACTTAATGTGTGTTTTTATTAATACTCGATTATTATTAATATTGAGTATTAAGACATTATATTATATTCAACATTTAAATTGTTTTACACTAATTAGTCACAATTAAAAAATTGTTATTAGTGTTAAATATCCATATAAATTACATTAATTTATTATATAAATATTTATTTATGAAAAATATAGTTGAAAGTTCCGAAAAAAAGGACATCCTTATTTTTATGAAAAGTAAGATAATAACTATAGTTAGTAGTTATTTATTTAAAAAAAAAAGCTTATAAGACTTTTGTTATACTAAATAAAGACAGATTCCAACAGTTCAAATTTTTCGTAAAGAATATCAAATTTGCAATAACAAAAACAAATTTGCTCTTTCTGTCAATAGACTAGAATCAAAATTCACAACTGACAATCGCAGAATTTTAAAATACCTAAATTTGAAGATTTTACCAAAGAATAAAAAAATCTTATACACTTTTAAAAGAATTTTCATTTTGTTGTTTGGTAAACCCTTTTAAAATTTGATGAGTTTTTTTTTAATTCATTATGATCACTTGTGAATTTTGATTCTATCCCACTCAAATACCGATTCACTCAAATGAGAAACCTCATATAACAAACATATAACTTTATAGGAATTATAAAACGCATATTTTCTTTACATTTTATTTTATATTCCTTAGACCAAATAACAGAGATATTGTAACAAATATATTTACACACATTATCATTACAATGACAGTTTACTAAAAATAACATAACCTATATCTCAGGTATATTTGTTGTATTTAATATTAACTTCCCGAAATATTTTTAATAAATATGTTTTCCAAATAGTTTTAAACTTGAATATTTGCTTTTAAATGAATGCCAATGCAGTTAATTAAATATCTACGTACATAAACATATATTCTAAATAAATGTCTATAGAAATATTTTTATTTCAACTAAATCAAAATATCAACTTTCTAATATTTTTTATAATAGACAAATATTACTAAACTTCAATTAGTTACGTGGAGTTAAATTACAGAAACACTGACATAATCATGGGACAATATGACACCCATATCCTCCAATGACAACAATAATTTTTTTTCAAATATTTTATTATTATTAATTAATAGACAATTTTTTTTCGTTGGAGGGAAAGTGAGAAATTTTCTTATGTATATCTTTTCAAGATGAAACCCTAATTATGCCACTGTACAAAAATATCATTTTTTATTAAACCATATGCATAATCCGGACATTTTATTAAGCCTTTACACAATTATGTTGTATATTCTATTACATGTTTATTGATTCAGCGTTGTATGTAATATATTTAAGTTTTCCAATTAGACATGGTTGAGTTGCGATAAGGTGTATGTCCAAAATTGTCTTTTTTACATTTATTTATATTTTTGGCAAATTATTATAATTAAAATTGTGAAAAAACAAAATTAAAGATTTTTTTTCGTCTAATAAAAATCTATTGCAATCAGATGATTTTTTTCAACTATTCAGCATATGGTTTATAAAAAGTAATACTTCCTA